GTAGCGATGCCCTTTGTTCCTAATAGCTTCTTGTTACTAGTAGTAAGAATGCTCCTAGTAGCACGGCCAGGAGCCCCTAGTAGCGTCCTTGCTCCTAGTGAGTAGCGATGCCAGGAGCCCCTAGTAGCGTCCTTGCTCACTCCGGATAAAAATTGTGTTTATATTTGGGCCTGTTTTGAAGGGAAAATGAAAGAAAGATTCCTGAGGAGATACTGCTGCGGCAGATACGGAAAGGTTTGCTAAGGATGTTCGTTTGTGGCGGGCAGCAGGGCATTCCTTGAGCAGGCATTCCTAGATCTGGATGGCACGATGTTCTTTTTTTCAGGAATTCTTGGCAAAGCTGCTCATCACGCTTCACTGGCCCGGCATACAGAGAAACTTCAGAACCGAGAGTTTCTCGAGACAAACGTCAAGTGTACTCCACATGAAATCAACCTGCTGTTGTGTCACTTGCCAGCTGGGCGTGAAAGCCAATCCTGCAGTCAAGTCTCATGCCTCATGTGCCTCATGGTGCAGAAAAGTTTTGCCAATCTGGAGTAGTGTCATGTGATGTGATGCAAAAATCATTCATCCATCTCTGTTCCGTCTTTGCGGTGTGCTTTTCGCCGAGGTGGGGAGATGTGGACATCAGTAGCCCTTTAGCCATCCTTCCGGAGGATGGATATCGAGCCCGGCTCTCGGATGGGGAACTTGCAACTGTGGGAGCGAGCACGCTTCTCGCATATGCCTCTTTCTCCGAGAGGGCCGCGGTCAGAAGATGTTTGTCAATGAGCTAAAGACTGAATTGACCTTTTTCTGGAAGACCCTAAAGAAGGTGGACACACGAGCAATTCAATTTTCCTTCTTCGTCTCCGTGCCCATTTCTTTGCATCCAGAAGTGTTTTTACAAAATCTCAGAGAGGGATGTTCCGTGGAACACTCAGGAGGCCTTGGAGAAGGTCGGGCCCCTCCGTCTTCGGTGCATCGCGGTCAAGAACTGTGTTTGAGCTTCGACATCTTGTCAACCGCGAGTCGGTTGGCTTCAACAACTGCAAGAAGTGAAGAAGAGTTGAGTTCAGCATGGAACAGTTTTAGAAGGGATTTGCATCTTTGGCTGGCACGCACTGATGCAATTGCTGACAGGTGATGCAGTCAGAGGAGGGGCTCTTCGTGAGCCATCCCAATTCACCCTCGTGGTTGGCCAATATGCCGCCACACTCCAAGGAGCTGAACGACCATGTGACACATGCTTACTGCTTACTGCTCTTCCGCACATGAACACTTTAGGTTGGAGGCCATCGCTACTAGGGTGGGGGACAGTTGGATAGCTGTCAACATTGGCTTTGGATCTAAAGAGTAATTATTGCAGAGCGCAGTGGTGGGAGATAGTCGCCTTTCGCCTTGTGCTCCATTCTCAAAGTTTGTCAAATTCCTTTTAGGCACTTGGATTTTTTTCCTCATCGCCAGGACGTCTTCTGCGTGAACATGTTCTGCTTAGACCAGGCGTGCATCATGGGGACCAACAACAGCTGCTTCTTTCGAATATCACTTCAAAAGTGCTCGTGATATATCCTCAGCCAACTGCATGCCCCCAAGAACTTCTCCAGCTTTACGAAAGAGTCTAAGGGCTTTTGCGCCTCTTCTACTTCAAACAATAACAAGAAGCTATTAGGAACAAGTGCCACACTAGTAGTAACAGGTGCCTTACTAGTAGTAGCAAGAAGCTACTAGTAACAAGTGCATCGCTACTAGTAACAAGTGCCTTAGTAGTAGTAGTAGCAAGAAGCTATTAGAAACAAGTGCCTTAGTAGTAGTAGCAAGACGCTATTAGAAACAAGTGCCTTAGTAGTAGTAGCAAGAAGCTATTAGAAACAAGTGCCTTAGTAGTAGTAGCAAGAAGCTATTAGAAACAAGTGCCTTAGTAGTAGTAGCAAGAAGCTATTAGAAACAAGTGCCTCAGTAGTAGTAGCAAGAGCTATTAGAAACAAGTGCCTTAGTAGTAGTAGCAAGAAGCTATTAGAAACACTTTAAGCGTTCGATTCATCCGGACCCATCCGGGCACTGCGGCACCACGCGGGAGGCCTTTCAAACACAGGCCTTAGACTTCCTCTTGTGCCTTGGCAAGTCGGTCTCAGTCGACCCACCCGCTGGAGAACTCGCGTCCCCTGGTTGTTTGATGGTGCTTTCGTGTGAACTGGCGTAGAAGATCTTCCAAAGATCATAGATGTTGCATTTCTGTAGTTCCTAATTGATTGGATTACAGGGAGCAAAATTATGAAGATTGTATTTTTTGAAATTACGACAGGAAGAACAAGATTGTCCCTGCATTCCCTTTGCACCCTTAAAACGCTAGGGATGCCCTGTGGTAGATGCTTTATACACTGTTCCTGCACAGCAGCTCATCCGTTCCGCCTGTTGAAGCTTAAAGGTAAGGCCGAAGGGCGTGTGGGCATGAAGGGCCACTAGATGCCCAGTCCAACAACATCCGTACAAGGCCTGCCTTCTCCTTGTTCCCCGAGAAGGACCGTCCGTTGGGGAGAAAACAAAACAGTACGCTCATGAAATTGTTTAAATAGACAATGCAAGCAAAGCATAACAGTATAAAACATGAACCCTTTTCGGCAGTGCTTTTGATGAGAAACAAGAGGTCCTGCGTGGAAGACTTCTCAGTCCAGGTGTCCAACTCTAGTGTTCATAGTCAAACGAATGCTTTCGTTGTGAGCTCATCATCGAGTCAGCTTCTCTTGTCGCGAGCCGCATCTTTCCGCCAAGTCGAAAAAGATGTTCTTGCAGCAACGACTCCAGGACTATTGTATCGTTACGCAACCTCACACGGCTCCCAACACGCCGCTGCTCAATGCGCTGGGAAGCCCAGATGGGAATTCTTAATGGGCAACAAATGGGAACAGGGAGATGGCCTCCAACCTAAGAGCGATGGCCTCCAACCCAAGCCAGAGATCCTCTGGCATTTCCGGAATATCCTCAATTTAGATACTCTCGGTTTTCATCGGTTTTCACTCCGCGAGTCAGGCCATGGTTGGATGTGTCTCTTGCGTCAATGTTTCTCCGCTTATCAGACAACGATGCCAATTTCCGCTGCTGTGTAGTTTTGGGAAAGAACTACTTTCATCAGGGAATGATCACTTTCCGTGGTTGCTCAATCCTGGTTTCTAGCTCTTGATGGCCTTTTTTCGTTAGTTTAACAACATCGCGGCGAGCACGCCCTTTTTTGCACTGAGGTTCACCATTGTGCCGCCTCAACCGCAGAACACCTTCGGGCACGTGCTCTACTTGATCCATCGGGCCTCTCTCTTGGGCCCGCCCAAGGTGGGAGCGATCGGCCGCTCTGACGGCGAGTTCGCGGCACGCGCGGAGGTGTGGAGGCCATCGTTTTTAAATCAAAGGTTCAGGCATGTGAGACTGGTGTAAGTAGCCAAAAGGCAAGATGTGGAGAGGAGTCCTTTAAAGCACCAAAAAGGACATGTGACATGACTGAAGCCGGCCACAGGTGGTCTATTTGAAGCCTCATTTGCTGGAGCACGTGCATCCACTCCTAGACGTGTTCGAAGAAGAGACGCGACAGGAGAGGCTGAGTGTGATTTGGGACTCACTATGACTCACTTGAGAAACTAAGTCCTTTGGAAGCTTTTCAGACGCACGTTTCAACGCTTCTGACCAAGATAACCTGAATAGCCTCTGCAGTCTGCGGTGCTTCACCAAGATGTTTGTTTGAGGACATCATCTCCAACTCAAAGCTCTTCCTGCAGGCTGGGTACGGTCCCAGTAGGTCATGAAAAACAACACATCACAAGTGCCCTTTGTGACGTTGGTAGCGTCCTCTTGCTCCTAGTAGTAAGGCCAGGAGTGCCCCTAGTAGCTTCCTTGTTCCTAGTAGCGATGCCCTTTGCTCCTAGTAGCTTAGGATTCATAAGGCATCTCCCACAATTAGACATATTAGACCTTCATCTCTTTTCAGACGGGGGCGTGTCCACCCCATCTCGGCCATGTGTCATGATGTTGCACCTGCCGAGGAGCGAAAGGGCAGCGAACTGGAAGTCTTTGTGGTGGAGTTTGATAGTCAGGCACCACACTATGAAAAAGGGCAGACTGGAGGAAAAAGACAAGAGATACGTGATTTTGGTGGTCCACTAAGTGTTCATGTGATTGCTGGTCATCTTCGCAATGAAGCACACGTTGGGAGGCAGTCGGCCTCATCATGTCTTCAGCTCAGTGGGATTGCGGTGCAGCCAAACGAAAGACCACTCGGCTGCGGAGTAGGAAGGGGTACAGATGGGCACAGTCGTGAAGCGTATTTCTATCCGGTGAGCCGGTGAGCGGAATCCGCTTTCAGCTGAAAAGAGCTCGGACGCTTTCACGCTTTGCGTACCTTCGACTAGATCGTATTGTTGGATGCTTTTGGAAGGAATCCGCTTTCGGTTGAGGTTGCAGATGCCAAGTTCAGATGTGGTGGACCGGCTGGGAAGCTCAATGCGTAGCGTAGCATGGAGCCAGATGTTTCGAACTAGCTTGTGGAAGGAACATGGATCAGCATCTTCGCATTAATGGATCGAAAGATATAAGGGCTCTTATAAGCCCCAGAAATCGAAGAACACAGGTTTTGGTGGTCCCTTTTGCCAATGGGCGCTGGGCAAACTTGGCCATGGGGAAAGACTGTGAAGCCTTCCACGAACACGCAAGGCTTCGTTGTTGTTACCACCTGGATGACTATCTCCTTGTGGAGCACCATGAGACCGGTGGATTTGGGAACAAGGACGGGCCGGGATCATGGATGAGACTGGCGCAAAGGCGACATGTTGGTGGTTCATCTTCAAGATTGCCATCGTTTGAAGTCATGTTAAGGAATGTTGAAGGATCACTGTAGTAAAATGCCTCAATGACGTACGTATTTGTCAGGTCTCGAGGGCTTGCACCTTCGAAAGTGACCACAATTTCTGTGCATGCGCTGCATGTGTATGTGCTTTTGCATGCTTTTGCCGTATTAGACCCCTTCCTGTAAGCAGAGAGGTTCATGTGGTGGTTCCTGTGATCATACTCCATCATGTCTCCGATTGCATCCTCAGCGTCATGTCTCCGATTCCGAGCTTTCGCAGGGCCACGTACGACTGCTGCATTGGGTTCTCAACCCGCTGTTCCAGAAGTACACGCGACGGTTGCTGCAGGCACTGCAATGTGGGCTATGTGAATCTGCTAGTGAAACTGTGGAAAGAGACGAGCAAACACAGAAGGTACTTGAAATGCTCCTATGAAATGGCGTGCTTTGTGATCGACAGCATGACATGATATGACATGGCATGCGTGATCTTGGTTTTTCGCTCAATTAGAGTGGCTTCACTGTGTATTGCTCAAGCACAAAACTGCCGATTCTGAACCCCGCCGCGGCTCACAACAAGCAGCTTGCCAGGGTGCTTTGCGGATATCAGGGAAGACCGCACTCTTCGTTGGAAGACTCAGACTGATCTTTCCGAGATGTTTGGTCATTGGATGTCATGGAATGGCTTGGCTACTTTTGCTCCAGATGTTAATCCCAATTGGCAACAAAAGATCTAGCATGTGTTTTTTGCCTCGTGCACGATGGGGCAGCAACCTGATTGCCTTAGTCTAACGTGATTTGCTGGACAGTTGAAAAATGACTAAGGCTTTCTGTGGAACGATTGAAATCACATCAAATCTGTTGATGTTTCATCCAACCTCTCTCAGTTGGAGACCGAGCTGAAGCAGTCGGTCTCTTCCATCTACAGGCACATCGCGTGCCGAAGCGCTCGAAACGCTTGTGCTGGAGATTACTCTCATGCGGCGTGTTCGGCGTGCACACCCCCTGTTCTGTACAGACCCTGTGCTGGGTATTGCATGTTGGTTCTTTCTGCAGGGATCCAGGGAAGTCTCCCATTTACCCACCGCGAAGATGCAAAAAACTGTTACTTCCCTTAGAAACGAAAGAAAGATAGCGTTTAAAGCAAACAGAAAACATGTTTAAATTGAACTTCGATGTGTTCCGTTTGTTCCGTGTTCTTTTGAAATGGCTCCATCGGCATCGGCTCCCGTCCTCAGGGAGCTTCTTCAAGTTGCGCCTCGAAGGCCGGAATTGTGGGCGGAGTGGACTGGGCTGAGTCGTTTTTCGTGGCATCGTTCAAGGCCTTTCCAACAGGTATAGCAAGGACGCTACGATCGGGGCTCCTGGCCTTACTACTAGGAACAAGGACGCTACTAGGAGCAAAGGGCATCGCTACTAGGAGCGATCGGACTCTACCAGGTGGAGAAAACACTGTGTGTTTTTTTCCTGTTGTACTCTTAGACCTTTCCTTTCTTTTTCTTCGTTAGACCAGTCGTTGAAGAGGCTAGGCATTGAGCTTGTCCGAAGGAAGAAAAAGGTCTCAACCTCCAATTGGAGCATTTTATCCAGGGTCTTACACAGCCAAAAATGACAGAGGAGATCCTAAAATCTCTCGTTTGAGATTCACACTCCCAATCAGAAGGTCATTTCGCAGAGCTGTGCAGGCCACCACAGCTCAAGAAGATCTTGCGGGAACCGCCCACCGTCAATAGCCCCAGCTGTAACGATGAAAGAAGACAATCGGGTGATGTCAGCTTGATGGCGCGTTTGCGGCTTCTTGTTTGATGTGGGTGCTCAAACAATGCCGTCCAGCATAAGACCCAGCCATGAAGCCTGGATAACACCTGCCATGCTCCATGGCCATCAAAATCTAATACCTAGAAACCGTTTGGACCATGCGGTATTCCCTTCTGCCTGATTTTCCCTTGCGCACCTGCCTACCCCTGAAGAGCAAAAAAGTTCAATGCTGGCTGAGGTTGCCTCGTTCTGCAACATCGAGGAAGAGCTCCCCACAGAGGACTAGCCGCGGCTCATCCGGCAATTTCACTGACGCAACAGAGCGTGCTGACATGCCGAAGATTCAGAAAGAAGCGACTTAAACTAATGACGAAGCAGAGTGCATAAAGCAAACAGTTTTTGTTGCTCATTGGCATGAGAAGAGGCTTGTTTGCCGTGTTATAAGGTTTTGATGAGACGTTCTTGGTCAGGAAGATATCCGGGAGACAGAGAGACAACAGCTACTCCGTGATTCAGAGCAAACCAAGGTGGACGGATGGACCCTGGCTTGAGAGACACCACGACTTCCACTTGCAAATGTGTAAAGGTCAGGTTCCTCTTTGAAAGATACGGTCCTCGGCTTTTCGAGGGACACAAAGTAAGTATCCGAATAGAGCTAATGCAAGTTGGTTTCGAAATCAGAACTGCTTCCTGAAGCTCTGACCCTCAGTCAATGTGATCCAAAAGACATGCACATGTGTTTTGTATGATTGGACTGCGGACTGCCAGGCCCTGTCCATCGTCGCGAAGAAGCTGTCGGACTCTCAGGGCGCCGGCATCGGAACCATCGGTTCGGGTGACCGGTTCGAGCGCTCGGGAGCTCTCCGGGTGCCTCAGTGACCCTCACTGATGCTGAGGATGGAGGGAAAACTCATGCTGAGGATGTATTCTGCAAGCGAAATGGCTTCGCGAAATGGCTTGACATGTAAACTTCCCCGAGCACTCCGAACGGTCTCATTTTATGGTGTTGAAAGACGCTACTGGAGCTCGATGTTGAAAGACTGCTGTTCCACACTCATTTTCTGTCATGTGCGTCACCTCATCTTGGCACTTAAGGCTCAGTGAAACAAAGATCCCGGTGAACGCGCGCATCGTGGTGGTGGGTGCCAGCGACTGCGGGCTGTTGCAGCCTTAAGCATCCGGGCGTTGTCAGGTCCGACCGGAATATGTGATGGACCACGGTACTTGTTGGGCTAGACTAGTCATGAAAGTCTGAGGTATCCTGCTTGAATTTGATTCCAAAGTCAAAGAGATAGATGTTGACGAGGAAAGCATAGTCTTTGCAGCGCCTGGAAGACTGCAGAATCAGATCGAATTGGGGATTGAGAGGATCAGTTTCGAAGTCTGAGGTCATTCCTCGAGAGTTTGCTGAGCATCCCACATCTCCTGTTCAACTCCCTAACACTCCTGGCCTCGGTCCCAGCGTCGATGGTCATCAACTTGTTGAGATTAACCCAAATGGATGCCATGGATGATGAGAGGAGATGATGTGTGCGAAACCAACGTTGGTATTTTGATGTGACGGAGAGTTCTTCCTTGTGTTCGGTGGTCTAGAAGATCGAATACATTCCACTACCATCTTGGACGTGTATCGCTGCTCTTTGCTTTGCGAAGCGCGATGCGGCTTGCAAAGAGGCTCCTGGTGGATTGGAGTATCACCATGCCCATCACTTGCCGCTCGTTGCAGGCATGTGAATGAACATCACAACTACCAGCAAATTCAATGCAGGGGCAACACCAAAGCATTGATGCTTTTCATCCATGCTGCTTTTGCAGAAGGACAGCAATAAATGGAACAATTGGCAGCAAATAGCGTGCTTTGTACATCGTTGAGGCTGATGTCTAGAAACATCATGAAACATCCAAAAAGGAATTTGAGCAAGCCTGGCCTGACGCATCTTCCACCCTGCAGGCACAGCCGCCTACTCTCACCAAGAGCTGCGAAGGATTATGCTGGAGCTCAGGCAAGGGAGATTCCCAGAAAAACGGAATGGTCTAAGAGTCTTGTTACATGGTAGTCTCTGCTTCAAATGGCTACACCTTGGACTAACCCTGTGATCGACCTGTGTCAAGGTGCACTGTGACACCCTCTCACATGACACAAGTGCGCTGAGTGCAACAAAAGCTCACATGTCAGGGTAAGGATCCTGGATAGCCGCATGGTACACATCGACCGGCAGCAGAAGTGCTGCATCTTGCACGATGGCCGAAGCCTAAACTCGGATCAAAACAGACGAGCTCGGTACAAGAAGTCCAACCCCTCAAACTGGAAGGAGTGGAATTTCCAGAGTTCTCTTACTCATCCAATCGGAACTTCGCACAGTTGCACCGGCCGGACTATAATGTGCCCCAAAAAACGAGTCTTCACACTGGAAAGGGCAATCAAGATTGCATGGCTGATGCAGCTCAGGGAGGTAACCTCTTAAGGTGCTGTGAAATCTGAGAGTTGCACAATCTTTCTTCCTTGCCCCAGACATCTCTTTTAATGTATATTATAGACCTGTAGACTGTTACACCAGCTTTGACATCAGACTCTTAGGTTCCATGTTGCCCTACGACTACTTGGTCGTGGCTACAGGAGGGGCAAGCGTGGGAGAAGAAGTGTCGAATCTGAAAAGTCCATGAACTGCGTTTGAAGTTTGACACTTCCAAGTCAGTGACTGGTCACCAGGACTGGGTTACGATGTCCGACACACTAAAAAACGAAGGAATCTTGGCGTTCTGTGCTCAAAGGAATAGACCTGATATTTTTTGTGAGAACGCGATGTCGCCGGTCTCATGATGGTGTTGTTGTCAAAACAAGGAATGGATCTTTGGGCTGTCAGCCACAGAAGTCCTAGCTGAACAGGTCTGCAAGATGATGCGTTGCATGCATTGAAGATTCAGTCCATGGGGGTCACTTGGCTTGAGTGTATCTGTTGGCAGGGTGAAAGGGAGTCTTCGAATTGTTTGGTTCAGAGATTGCTGCCTCCCCGTTGATTTCCTGATGTTCCAATCCCATTTGGCAGTGCCAGTTGCCATTGGGAACCGAAATCTCTCAAATATGTCCTCAGGTGAACGGGTTCTCAAAATATAGTTGCTGCGATGGACTCCAAATTCCGGCTCCTTCCTGGAGTCATTTTAAACAGTCTACGAAGAGATAACACGTGAAGTCTTTACAATCAAGCCGAAGGAAAGGAACAACGAAAGGTCCAAGCACTTCTTTTAACATGTAGACAGAAGAGCTATGGTCTTGCTTGACCTCAACCACGCGTGCTAAAGGGTTTTTGTCTAGGACTTAACTACCCCTTCTACTCTTTATAAAGTTATGCATCTTTGAAACTGAATGCTTTATGAACAACATTTAGGTTGGACTTGCCTTGCTTTTTTTTGCTTACTGTCTTTCTTCTTCACTTCTTACCAGCAAATCCCTTTCTTCTCCCCTTCCTAAACATGATACGAATTGATAGGACTTCAAATATGCCACCCAAGTCACGATGCCTTGATTTGCCCATTCATCACTTGAGGTGGAACATGTCACCGACGGCTACCGGCGGGTGAATGGCGCGATGAGCGCAGCGGACCCTTCAATCCGAGATTTGTGGTGGCCTCAAAAGGTGGAGGGGCAAGTAATTGCAATTCTAATTAAATTCTTATTGTTACTACTAGTAAGGCACTTGTTACTACTAGTAAGGCACTTGTTATTACGAGTAAGGCACTTGTTACTAGTAGCGATGCACTTGTTCCTGGACAAAAGAGGAGACAAGAAGTGACTCAAAGGGACGCAAGAAGTTGATCGAACGAAAGGGAAATGGATCAAAGGATATCAATAGAATTCATCATTTACCTCAATGACCATTTGTCCAGCCATGGGATGGACCCAGAAACACGATCTCATCGCAGTTCTTCGAAGTCCTCTTCCGGTCTGCTTAGGCTGGTGGAAGGGGGCACCTTAGTGAAGTCCTTGATTTGGAATCCGCTCTCCTACGCCGTGGTCTGGGGGACCCAGATGAGATGCCTCGCGTTTGCGGCTTCTCAACAAAGGATGTTTGGAGAAGCTATGCATGCAGATGAAGCATAACTTTCGACCCATTTTTGTGGACCCTTTCGACCATGCACACAGGCCAACGACTGCCAGTAGATGATGCAGAGCCAATAGCCAACGGACGCTACAGCGATTTTTGCTTTCCTCGTTGGACACCTCATCATTCGTTTGCGCCACCGACCGCCATTGCCGTACACCGCGAAGGTTTACGGCCGCTCACTGAACGCCTACTGCGTGGTGCAGGGCTTGTTGCTCCGCAAGGCGCGGATGGAGCCGCAATGAGAGACGCGTGGTCAAAATGAACCTTGTGCAATACTAATTCGGTCACTAGGCATGTTAAAGCTAGTCAGGGACTCAAGTGTTGTTTTTTCACCCTTGAAGGTGTCATAAGGTTTCTAAGTGACTATGAACACCATTCGTTCGAACTTGTCAGAGTGTACCAACCCATGGGTTTGCCACTCCCTCCGCCATGAATCTGGCTACAGGTGCCCGCGAAAAAGATCATTTTGGCGATGACCTGAGATCCAGCCCCGATTCGGATCCATCGGCGGTTTCCAGCAGCAAAGGACCAAAAAGAAGACCTACTGGTAGTAATGCACTTGTTACTAGTAGCTTCTTGCTACTAGTAGTAATGGGCCTCCAACCTACTTGCGATGGCCTCCACCTAATAGCTATGAGAATTCATTGTTTGTGTGCGTTGAAAATGTGACTCGTCTCCCTTCTTTCAGGTCTTGCCACCAAGGTTGCAGGAGACCGGTCTTGCCGGGCAGATGGAAAGGGTCCGGCTTTCTGTTGAGCGGTGTGAGAGACGCTTTCAGTTCGATGGCGTCGGTGGAATTCGGCCATTTCTTGGCCACAGAACTGACCTGCCATGATCCAGGTTCTTAAGCAGCTGAACTTGGATGCAAGTCTCAACAGTACAACCTTTAAGATGTTAACTATATTATTTTGCCTTTCTTCTGTCCTTCCTGTCTTGGTTCGTTCTTCCGTGTGCTGCACACATCAAGACTGATCCATGTGCAGGAGTCACAGCAAGGCCTCTCTGTGGACGCGTTCTTTGAGGCGGCGTTTTTTCGTCAAGACCAAAGTCACTGGTGCTGTTGCATTGTTTTCGAAGCTCTCTTGGCGATCAGACATAGTGGTGTTTGGACGATCGATCAGCCATGATTTATCGATGTTGTTGATGTTGTCGTGTCCTTGCAAGGAAGCAACCTCAGCAAAGCTGTGTTTAACCTGCTTGAAGCTTGCTTGGCCACTGTGGGTTGGTCCTTTTGTCAGGGGCAAACCTGTAAGGCCTCACAGACCTGACACAAACCTGAACCGTTTCAGGGGTGTTTTGTTCCGGGACTTCTTCAGCCGCAGGGAGATGAAGTCGAGAAGAAGATTCACCACATCTTGGAGACGATGGGCTTGAAGGACAGAGATCGACGGAGAGCGGTGTGGTAACGGTCCTCCCGTTGACATTGGAAGAAGAGGGGGTTCCGCAGAAAAATAGACGCAGGCTCAACGTGTTTTGACATCCAGCACCCGCGTCTGTGTGCCCTGCAGCTATATAAACATATATATTATCCAATTGTCCTAGGTACTATGTCAAATTGGACAGCACAAGGTTTAAAGACATCAGGTCCACGAGTGTTTTTTGACCACCTTGCAGGTCTATGAAGGCTATCGCCTGCTTGGCATTCAGCAGTGCACTCGTGGACGGCTAAAGGGCCTTGTCTTCGAGGACCACAATGGTGGGCGGGGAGCTGAGTGGGGACGCGAGTGCAGTTTGCGGTTGCACTGGGGCAAAGCCTGCGGATGTGAGCAGAAACTCTAAAGAAGAGAAGGCGATCCCTTTAGAAAGTCACAGCGCACTCAGGGCTGTGGTGCCACTGCCTCCAGAAGACACTGCAGAGCGTGAGCAAGAGAAGAGGACCGGGAAGCCAGGTCTTGTAATGTGCCAATCACGAACGAGACAGTAGCAAGGCAAGTGCCTTACTACTAATAACAAGAAGCTAGTCGAAACAAGAATTAGTAATTAGAATTTAATTAGAATCAAATTAAAATTAGTAGTAAAGAAGGCTACTAGGACCTTTTCGCGCGCCCGCGCGCGCGGGGGGGAGGGGTAGGAGCAAGGACACTACTAGTAGCTCCTGGCATTACTACTAGTGACAAGAAGCTACTAGTAACAAAGGGCATCGCTACGAACGGAGCGATCCGACGCTGCGCCGCTACGTGTTGTTCTTTCATTTTTGCCCAAGTCAACTGCTTCAAGTGTCTAAAGGCTCGACCCTTTTCGGCCTTGACTCCGAGTCTCAAAGGAGTCTCAAAGAGCGAAAGCAATTGTAGAGAAAAGAATAGAAATGCGAAAAGAACGCTCGCAGGTTCCCAGCACCAGAAGCCGCGCGAGCTCCGATGGGCATTTTGGAGGAGAGAAATGGATCGCAAGTCGTTGTTGATGTAGGGCCTAAGAAAGGGGTAAAGCTGATGAACTTCAAAGCTGCATAGCTGGATCGAATCATAGCAGATCGTTTTGGCTACGGTAGTAAGAAAGTGTGGACCTGAAACAGGAAAAACGGGAAAATAAGTATAGCAAATCCATCAAGGGACATCACTGTTTTCAGTACTTTTCATAGCGTTGCATCTCCCAATTGGGTTGTAAGCTGATCCGTTCGAATCGTCAACGTGTTTAGGACTTTGGAGCGAGCCCTTCCAACTTGCCACAGAAGGCGGATCTGTGACGAGAGGAGTTCCGAGCTGTTCTTCAATGATTACTACTAGCGTCCTTGTTACTACTAGTAAGGCCCTTGCTAGTAGCTTCTTGTTACTACTAGTAAGGCACTTGTTGCTAGAAGCGATGCACTTGTTCCTACTAGCGTCCTTGTTACTACCAGTAAGGCACTTGTTACTAGAAGCGATGCACTTGTTCCTAGTAGCTTCTTGTGAATCATTGGAAGAATCATTTGAGGCAATGGCTTTTGTGACCTTGTGATTATTTATGCTAGGTTGGAGGTCATCGCTAGTAGGTAGGCCTTGGGAGCACAACCAGACTACCCTCAAGAATTCATGACAATCATCAGATTCCACCAAAACTTCCAAGGACAGGTGCGACCCACATTTGCAACCCAAAACACTCGAGCAGGCTATTGCTTCTAGGATGTCTTTGCAATTCTCCTCTCCTCCTCTGACCCTCTTTTGATTTATTCCTGGTTGGCACATGACATCCTGTGTGAGCTACGCAGAACTTCCACCTGTGAAATGAAACCATGCCATTCCAAGACGATCTGTGCCTGCCCAGCTTTTGGCCTGCCGCATTTGCATCACTGCGGACGCGGTGAACGTGGACCCGGACATCTTCAACTCGGCGCCGCGGCTGAACGGGCGACCCCACGGAAGACAGTGATAGTAACAAGAAGCTACTAGGTGGAGGCCATCGCTATTAGGTTGGAATAGCTTCTTGTTACTACTAGTAAGGCACTTGTTACTAGAAGCGATGCACTTGTTCCTAGTAGCATCCTTGTTACTAGCAACACAACTTCGGGATCCAAATGTGTCGACCGGGAGATGTGCTCCGCTTCAGTAGTCAGCTTGGAGGATCTTCTCAGAGGGTCAAGAACTTGCTCCAGACTCCATACCGTTGAACCTTTCCAGTCAGATGATACGACTTGACTTGATATTGCATAAATCACCATCTCATCGAACATGTTGCCTGTGGTGAGAGGTCGAACAGAAACAGCTCCAAGAAATGGGAAATACTGTAGTGTCCATATCAAACACATGGAAAAAAGCGTTCAACTGGTTGAGAGTCCCATGATGTCCCATGTTCTTCACAAAGCAGATAAACGTCACGAAAAGATGATAGGGTGTTTCGTGGCCAGCCCTGTCGTGTGCCCAAGAGACCGCCTGACAGGTCTTGTGGATGTGAGTTTCCGCAAGACGTTCTTTCAGACCGTTTGTAGCGATGCCCTTTGCTCCTAGTAGCGAACATTGCTCCTAGTAGTAAGGCCAGGAGCTACTAGTAGCGTCCTTACTCCTAGTAGCGATGCCCTTTGTTGCTAGTAGCTTCTTGTTACTACTAGTGAGGCACTTGTTACTAGAAGCGATGCACTTGTTACTAGTAGCTTCTTGTTACTATGCCTTTGAACTTTGGACTCTTTCTTTCTTCCCGTTTTCTCGTCATGGTGCGTTGAGGTGCATGGCAACGGATTGGTGTACGATGGCCGGCTGATTGTGGACCATCATTTTGGCACAACAGATCCCGGGATCTATGGAGTGGGGAAGCTCAGCAAGGGGTCGCGGTCGATGTTATCGCCGTGGCAAGAACTGATCGATTCATCTCTCAAAGCTAGTGATGAACCGACCATGGTAAGTTGGGTCTCAGGTGGAGCGGAACCTTGAAGAAACCTGAATCTTTGTAGTTTCTTTAACTTAATGCGAGCGCTTCTTCAAGGAAGCTCCCCCCGCCACCTTCAGTTGCTAGAAGCTTAGAAGTAGTTAGGAGCGAACTTCTCCCTTAATTAAGCAAGGAGGCAGGGCCACAGGCTGAAACGAAAGGAACAAAGAATAAGGTAACTTGGAATCGGTTTCGGCACTTTTGGCACTTTTGACCTGAGAAGATCCCTCCCTCGCGGAACGAACGACCCCACTAAGGCGGGATCCCTTTGCGAGTTCAGCCGGCGATTCCAGCGGCAGAACTCGTGCGCCTGGCAATGTTGCTCATTATAAAAGCTTGGCAAATGCAAACGTGTGTGTGTGTGTGTGTTTATTGGTTGTTCTGTGTTTAAGCAAACGTGTTTCTTAAGTTGTTGGGTACTGTTGGCGAAGGAGATTGCGGTGCCAAGTGATTCGTGTGGATGGATCATATCAATAGACTACTGCTTGCGATTGGGGTGTCGGTCAAGGGGCATGACAGTGTCAGGCGCTACCTCCGCCATGATGGCTTCAATGGACGGGAGGCTGTTGACATGGCTGTGAAGCACCGGAATGTCGGTGAGATCATTGGTGAGATCATGTACTGCACTTGAGTCCGGACACAATGGTCCAAGTCAGTATGCTCCAAGCACAGTCAGTATGGCCCTCATGTGCTTCCTCACAGCCCACGCCAAGCAGCGTCGTAGTGTTCGCTTGAAGCGACGAAGTTCATGAACCCTCTCTCTTCATGTTGGAGCAACATACAAAACAAGAAACGCAGGATACCTGATCAACCCCAAGAACCCTTTTCCAAGGCCGTTTGATGTTTGACAAGTTTACCCCGTGTCCTAAAAACACAGCGGAGGTTGGTGCCAAGTTGGCTGGCGCACTCCTGAAGCGTTTAGATCCTGTTGGGCACCCAGCTTCCTTCGCTTGCAAACACCTACCCTTTTGAAGGGTTCTTCATCAGGGACTGCTGGTCTGAGCTACCTGGTGGACCAGGTCCTGCTACTGCTGCTGCTGCTGCTCCTGCTCCTGCTCCTGCTCCGGCTCCTGCTCCGGCTCCTCCTCTACTCCTACTCTACTCCTACTCCTACTCCTCCTACTCCTACTCCTACTGCTACTACTACTACTGCTGCTACTACTACTACTACTTCTTGCAAGATGTGTATTCCAAAGCAGTCTGGAAAACGCAAACTCCTTGATCTCCAGCACGTCCCAGGTGAACGGCGACAGCGTGGCTGCTGGCGGGCCGGCGATGGCCACGCCGGAGTGCCCAGAGAGATCGAGATCGGTGACGCAAAAAGCCTTTCTTCGGTAGTAAGGCATGGTGTACTAAGTAAGGTACTGTAGTCTAAAACTCTTGAGTTTGGTGTAGTGTAGTGCGATGTCTATTTCCCTAAACGACGATACAGAGAAATAAGGTAAAGTAGTGTTGAGTGGTAGTTGAGGTCATGGCGGCGTAGCAGAAGTGCAAATGCCTTTGGCCGTTTGACCTTTCGTGTTTTCTTCCCTTTCCAAGTAGAGTTCTTGTTCGAAGAAGCTGTAACCTGGTCAGAGAGCCGCTGCTCCCAGGCAAGAGCAGCTGAGCGCTTCCATGCTGTCGACCTGGCGCCTTTGGTTGGGTGAACGCCGAAGGTATGGATGGTGACTAAGAAGTTCCGTGTTGGGTACTGCCTTGTTTTTTGTGATTTAAGCACCGCAGCCGCAGTTTGTGTGCAATTACAATGCTTATTTGGCCAGGACAGCCACAGAAGAGGAGCGGATCAGCTTGACACAATCACAGAGCTTGTTTGACTAGGATCATCAATGCATCAGTGCATCAGCACCAGTTATATCAAATCCTATAGGTGGGAGGTATCCAAGCTTTCGTTGCAACAACCCTGGCTATTGTGAAGTGTTTTACAAAATGGCTAACTCATAGTCCTCCGAGGAGTCCTCGCCAGATTTGTTGCCGGAGTTCTACATGCTTGGCACTCAGATGTCGATGTTTGATCGCCAAAGAATTATTGGTTTGTTCTTCGATGTTTGTCGCGTCTTGTGGTTCCGTCACTGTCACTGCAGCATACTTCGGTGCCTTTGTTGCCACGTGTGGGCGAGCGATTGTGTCACTAGGCCTATCGCCAAGGGTGGGCTTTTGCCGGGCTCCTTGCATTACTATCGCGCGGGAGCACAAATCGGGGGGGAATGAGGTTGAGACTCCATTCGGTGCCGAAGAATGAACTCCTAGTAGCTTATTGTTTCTAATAGCTTCTTGTTACTACTAGTAAGGCACCTGTTACTACTAGCGTGGCACTTGTTTCTAATAGCTTCTTGTTACTACTAGTCTCAAGAACCACTGAAGAATCTGAAATGTCAGCTTGAACGGACCCGCCAGTCTGCCTATTTCGGAGAAAGTGATACAGACTGAGACTCGATCAGATCATCACAGATAGAAAAAACAAAACAAGAAAAAGCATCTCGTTGACTTCCACTTAAACTTTGACTTTTGCGCCTGACAACACTACACTGTCTTCTCCAGGCATCCACGCTTGCAGAAGAGGCGATGTGCAGGCCGGGTCGATGAAATGCAGTCTTTTGCGAGACGAACGAGCTGAGACTGGCACCTGTCACTTGTGAGTCAAGGGAGACGTTCTGCAGTGACAAGTGCTTCACACGATGGAGCTGATAAAAACAAAGTGACATGACATGCTGTACGGATCTTTACCCAGAACATCCGAGAACCCTGGAAGAGCTCTTGGATCGGTATCCCACAGAGCTGATGGATTTGTCAGGAAGAACAGAGTGACAAAGATGAGCAAGTGATTGCAGGGTTCTCGGGGCATCTCGCCAACCTTCGGCAATGTGTGCGGACCATCGGATGTACTTTGCCGTTGCTGTTCTCCCAAATCCTTACTAGTAGTAGTAGTAGTAAAAGGCTATTAGAAACAAGTGCCACGCTAGTAGTAACAAGTGCATCGCTAGTAGTAACAAGTGCCTTACTAGTAGTAACAAGAAGCTTATTCTTTAGACGACTCGACGTTTAGAAACTGTACTGAAAACCCCTTCCTGTCCTGACTGTTGTGCCAGTGAGAAAGCAGAAAGAACGGCGTGAGTGGTAAGTCTGTCTCACTCACTACAAACAATGCTGTTTGATTGCTACTAGGAACAAGAAGCTACTAGGAACAAGTGCATCACTAGTAGTAACAAGTGCCTTACTAGTAGTAACAAGAAACTAGTAGAAACTATTAGAACAATGCTGTTTGATTGCTTAGGTCACAGATACCCTGGACCTGACCAATGGCACAGGGCATTTCTGTGGGAGGCTGAGGAAAGGAAAGGAAGCATTCCTTCAACCGTTTTGGATGCGTGGTTTGTTCAAGGAAATAGCGATGGCCTCCGACCTATATTGAAGGATTCGTCAAGTTGAATTTCTTGTGTTATGTCATCACTCAAGAAGCGTTTGCTTCAGGTCGCCTGACCTTGGATCGCTTTGGAAAGGTGGATTCAATCACTTATTTAGGCTGGAGTGCTGCAAGTTGCTGCGTTTGGCCCAAAAATGAATAGGACAAATGCGCCAAATCAACGTGAGCATCTGCTTTGGCAGTAGTCCATGTCGGATCATCCACCTGCTGAGTGCCAGAGACGGTACAAGGGCACAGATTGGTGGAAGACGCAAATCCCGTCAACAGGTGGCGAGGCACTACAGGTGGAATCCCTGTGGAGCTCCTTGGCAAGAGCAACGGCCGTCCACTCTAGTCATTCCGTCACTATGCAGAGGAGAGAATAAGTTAGTGAATGGGTTCTCAATCTACTATGAGCTAATTAAGTGTCATCTCATTAGCGTTGAGGTCACGCGTGGACATGATGGCAAGAGAGAAAGCTGAGGGGACGACTGGGACAGAGATTCATCCACCTTTTCGACCAGAGCGTGAGAGGCCATGGACTTTTAGCCGAGGCTTAGTCGGTCTCAGCGAGACCTTCCTGAATTATCTCTACCAGAGATGGAGGCTGAAGAACTCGGAAGCATGTTGGAAACGTGCAGAGAAAGCGAGAACTAAACGTGATAAGTATGTCACGGACAAGGTAGGGCTATGACATGCTATCGTTGAAGATGTGTGTTGCCTTCCAGCAGACCGGAAGGAAACTGCAGTAGACAGTAGAACCATTTTGAGTCTCCAGTAGGTCGGGTTCATCATGTGCCTTTCTTGGAGACCAAAACTCGGCTCACGTCTGAAGTGAAAGGCTCCAAGTGTCAGACTTCAAAAGATTTACATCCACTCAGGGACGACGATATCCCCGACATCGTCGAGTGCACCTGGCATGTGTTGGGAGGGACATAGGTTTTAGATAGTTTTAGAACACATTTGCCGTACACGAGTGGCTAAGTTGGAGTGTGTTGTTTTGGTTTCATGAACCATTCACCCTGCATGTATGGCCAAAGGAATCCCAATCGATTCAAAAAACATACATGTTGCTTTCGGTGTGACTGTTTGAAAACACTGTTGAAAGGGCTGTTTTCTGAACGAGAACGCGTTTGACTCTTTGAAAGGCCTTTAGAAGGTGCAGTGCAGTGCGGTGTTAGGTTCTTGGCTGATGAATGGGCCACTGCGCTCTTCCATGATCGCTTCATGGACTTCTGCCACTTGGCGCCACTGCGCTCGATCTCGCAAGTTTCCAACTCTCACCCCATCCACTTCTCACTATGAGGCTCCTGGCATCGCTACTAGGAGCAAGGACACTACTAGGGGCTCCTGGCCTTACTAGGAGCAAAAGGACCCTACTAGTAACAAGTTCTCACTATGAAGTACTCATGTCGAAAAATCACGGTCACCTTGGACCATCCATGTGGTCATCTTCGGATCGTTCCATGTTGGTCACCTGTGGACCGGATGTGTGCTAAGGCCATCAGATCAAGCTGGAAATGCTGGCATCAGAAGAGGCGTCCACTTCCCTCCTAGAACCCTGCATTCCGCTAGATTTCTTAGACCAAAGTTGATGAACATCCCGTTGTCTTTGTAATCCATGTCGCACCCGATGTGTCAAAAAGAAAACATGTTCTCCATGTCGCAGATCGTTGAGCCACCTGCCTCACCTGCCATTTCTCGCAAGGTGAAACAGCTCATCAACAAAGCTCTTGAGGGCGTCGACGTGAAGGAGGGCTTATCCAGGCCCGTCCCAAGCCTTGCTTCTACCCATGCCTTCAAGAAAGAGGTCGCTGCCAAATGCCAAGAGTCCTTAATTGAAGCTTCCAGTATACAAGGCCGGAGTAGTGAGAGGCTAGTCAAAGACGACCTGAGCTTTTGCCTAGTAGCTTCTAGCTACTAGTAGCTTCTTGTTACTAGTAGTAAGGCCAGGAGCCCCTAGTAGTGTCCTTGCTCCTAGCAGCGATGCCACAAGCCCCTAGTAGCTTCTAGCTAAGCATGGTTTCCAGGGTTCAGGAATTCGTTTTTGGGGTGCTTGAAGACGCAGCTTCGTGTTTGCAGGAAGCTGCTCTCTGAGATTAGAAGTGAGCTACCATCAGAGAGCGTGAAGCAGATTCAGGACCATGGGGTGCTGTGGAAACAGTAAGATGAACTATAGCAGGGAAGGACTTGAATTGATGTTGAGATGTGCTTTGTTAGCTTGTAGGCACAGAGCTCCATGCATATGTTCTTTGAAGAGTTTCAACAGGTTCACCGTTAGGGTGAGGCCGCAAGTAGGTGAAGGCAAAAGCTACAAAGTTGATTGGCCAGGATCACCTGCTGGAGTACCTCCAAGAGAATACCAATCACCTCAAGACACTCGTCACATATAAGTTGATTGGCCTCTCGATCTTCTTTTGTTGGAAGAATGATCAATCAAATAGCGTTCACGCCAATTGTCACAAATGGTTTCCATCATTCCAATCTTTCCAGCTGAACCACTTCATGTAAATAAGTCTAGGAGCAAGGACGCTCCTAGGGGCTTCTGGCCTTACTACTAGGAGCAATGTTCGCTACTAGTAACAAGTGCTGAATGGGTTTGAACGAGGAAAGCACACAGCCTCTCATCCTTATGCGGCGGAAGCCGCCCTTCGCCACTGAGGACCTACTTCCTCTCGTGGCAGTGGGTCCAATCCTCAAACGTGGCGGGAAACAGTCCCTCCTCGGATGTCATGTTCATATTTAGTGCAGATTCCTGTGCTTTGTTCCTGTGATTCCTGTTCCAATCTTTCGTTTGGTCTAAAGCGATGGCTGTGAGAAAGACGGAGAAGCACGGCCTTTTTGCTGGACTGCCTTCCTTCGTGCCCAGTCGGAAGCCTCACGAAAATGAGACGCAAATGCATGCCGCTGAAGGCAGGGGATGTTCCTTGTTTTTGTGTTGAAGAGGACAAACACCTGGAAGCGGAGCAGATCCAAGCTTTAACAAGCTTCCTGTTCCAATGTTCGTCTCGATGGTCTCATGCCAGTCAACATGGATCAGTTGCATGAAATTTGACAATGTTTGGAGGGCTCCATTGTCAAAACAGAGAACACTCTCTTTTTGGGCAGGTCTTAAAGTGCCTTGACCACCTTCTACATCCTTTATTAGCTTGGAGGCCATCCCTAGTAGGTTCCTTTTGCTATTAAGATGGTGAAAAATGTACTCTGTGTTACTCCTAACAAAAGCGCGTCGCCGAGTCCTGGAAGTCTTGTCGCTTCAGGTTGAGGCTCTGCCAATCGCGCAAATGCGCCTCCGGCAAACCCTCACAGAGCGGAGATCAATAGATGTCTTTTTGGTGCGACTTTGACTATTTGGTGTCCAGAGTCATACAGTCATACAGTCAGTCATACCATATACATCCATATACCACCTCAATGATACTTATTCAATGCTTGTTTTTGCGCTTTAAGAATTGTAAATCAATGAGATGTTCTTTCAAGAGAGATTTTCCGGCTGAAAGATGCCTGGATCGGTTTCACCTCCGTGTCTCATCTTTCACCCGGGGTCTTCCCCATGTCGCAGAGGGGTAACTACCAACTGCCTCAGCATTCAGGTCACCAGGCCACTTTACAGCTGTTTCGTTGGTCACCAGGCCTCGGTTCTCTAAAATATACGCAGGAAGTACGAATGTTCACGAAGGCCTTCGACAATTTGTTCTTGGTTCTCAGATCCATCGAAGGATGAACACACAAAGGAATAGCCCATGGCCTCCAACCTACTGGCGATGAAACACAAAGTCAAAAAGAAAAGACATGACTGGAGGCCCCAGGCCACGGATGAAAAGGCGCTCGGCAGAAGCACTTGCTGTGACCGTAGCTACCTGTCCAACTGTCGTTCGTAGCTGCCAGCCTCCCCCAGCGCTTGGGGTCTGATTCAGCTGTTTCGAGCAAAAGTTGCTTCAAGTCCCGTTTGTTCTCAAGCCCCCAATAGGTTCTTTGCATTGGCTGCATCCTTCCTTTTATGGATCCTTTTCTGGAGATACCCAGTGTAAACCCCGAGTCCAGCTGCATCTCTCCTCACAAGACTAGTTTCAAGAAATGGAAAGGTCCAGGGACGCTTGGTCTCTCTAGAGTCTTCCGTAGTCTAGTCTAGAGACGGTTGGGTAGGTTTTGAGATTCCGCACAGGGTGGTTCAGCGTCCGGGAAGGCATTCCGGACTTAAAAATAGAAAATGACAATCTCAAGTAAAGTCTAAATGTCTAAAGAAACAAGACAGAAAGGCTAACCAATAGGGTTTTCACTGGTTGCATGAAAGTCATGAAAGAATCCAATTTGCTCGCAGCAAGAGGTCTTTCCTGCCGGGCAGGCCGCGGAAAAGCCGCGCGGCAGGTTGTCACCCGAAAAAAGGTGTTGTTCCTTTTGCGACTCTGCCACCGTCGGAGTTCTTAATGAATTAGACTAAAACATTTGGGCATCCGACAGCCGTCGCTTCGGGTCTTAAACACTCTTGACCTTAACACCTCTTACTACCTCTCGCACATCGGTCCAAGTCGATGTCATGCCTGGACTCTCTGGTCCAAACATGGAAATTCCCCAGGTGAAAAGGATCACATGCACTACCAATCATTCACAGGGATCGTCCATGTTTCAAGACGACGATCTGCACCAACCCCAAAAAGTTTTGCCAGCAGGACTCGTGCCTGCGACGAAACAAAAGGCGTGGCCCCCTCGATGCACCCCTGTGGGAGGATGCGGCCACACGCACGTGGTCTGGTGGAATTAAAAATTCCAGGAATTGGCTGCGCATCGGCACTCTTATGCAAGTACAACAATGCTTCACGAATCACTTTGTAAAGGTCACGAAATGTGATCTGCTCTTGGTCACCCTGGATACGGTGCCCCGCCGCATGAAATGCGACTGCCAACTCAGTAAACGAGTATGACTCAGCTGCATGACACAACCAACGCAGGTTTTGAAAGAACTTCCGGACGTGGGTCCAAGTCTCAACCCCATGCTTCCATGACTTCGGCGCTGGCATGTCATCAGGGATTTTTGGTTTCCAAGAAAACTTGGCTCGGGGAGTGGTCCAATGCCACTGCGGGTAAAGTTCCATAGCCTGAGTTTCAGTGAGATCATCTGGAACTTCTGCAACACCTTTCTCTGCAATGTCAGGAACCTGTGTATCACGTGTTGGCAACAATGAATGGAGGTGTACAAGCCATTGCTGATGTCTGTAGGCAGCATGTTTCGCCTGGTTGAAAGCCTCTGAGCACACCGGTGCAAGCCGAAAGGCCAAACGCTTGGCCACACGGTCAGCAGTTCTGTTCAACAAAATATGTTGCACTGTGGTGCCACGCGACAGTGCCTGTGACTCAGTCAACAAGTTGTCTGCAACTTCCTCGAGCTGGTGTGCAGGGATCCAACTGGTTTGAAACGGCTGCGGATGTGTCTGACGCCTAAGCAGCACAAGCTCACGGAAACGACCCCACCATTTCTGGCACAACCACGTGGGCTGAATGCATCCGTTTTGCAGGAATTCATTAATCTGATTGACAGCAGATTGGCAGTCCGAGTACACAATAACTGGCGAAGTGGCCCGAAAGAAAGCACTGAAAATAGCCCACAACTCGGTGACAAAGGAGCTCAGTGCCCAATGATTAACCATGCCACACGACACTGTACTGCCATTTGCATCAATGATGGCAAAAGAGCCAGTGGCCAGCCAGAAGTTGTCACCGTGTATCACAGATCCATCTGTCCACAACGGCACTGGTTCGCCAGGGCAAAATGCATCTGTAAAAATCAACTCATTGGACTGCTGATGCAACAGCCGCTTGCGTGCAATAAAGAACGGGTGTTCAATATGACCAAGCATCAAAAAGTTCTCTCCCAATTGGTGCGGAACTGGTGCCCCAATGTCTTGATGGAGGCTGGCACATTCAATCAGGTGAGGCATCGATTCCTTAGTTCGCTTGCAGAATCGGCACAACGGTGTATCAACCCACCCTGTAGCTGCCATACGATCATTGGTGAGGCAACAACCTACAACCACAGATTCAAATCTTACAGAGTTCTGAATGCCATCTGTGACATCACGACCTGTGGCAAGCGAGACACCAGTCAACTGATGATCAAAAATACCTTTTGGCTTGTGAAAGTCCTTACGTGGTGTTGTGGATGCCTTTAGATAACAGGCATGCCTGCAAATTGCCTGCAGGGCTCTTCTGGCATCCTGGGGTGCAAGCTGATCAAAACAAACCGGTTGAGACCCAAAGGCGGATAACCGCATACACTGATCAAGCTGAATTCCAAGAGTTCCACAAGCCTCTTGGAGTCGGCTGGCAAGTGAATGGGGTAAATTTTTCGTACTCTGAAAAGTGCGCAACAATTTGGGAAACAAGTCAGGTTGAAGAAAGCATGCACGAAGAGCCTCAATCACAATGTGATAAGCGCACGCAAAGGTGGGCTCAGTCCTATGTGGCTTGGAAAGGACAGCCTGAACAAGCCATTTGGAACGCCATTTCGGCCGTCCAAACCAAAGGCACCGCACAATCGCATTTTGAATCTGATCAAGAGCTCGTTTGGGAATGCGCGAGATGTGAGCACCGTAGGTCAAACGAGGAATGACCTTTGCACCAATTAGAAAGGATTTTGTCGCACGTGGAACAGGAAGTACCGCAATGTTATCAATGTCAGTCAAGGCACGTTTTAGTGCTTTATCAGAGAATCCAAACGGGGAGTTGGAAGAAGTGTAGATTCTGGTGCCTAAAACTTCAAATTCGTTCACAACTACAAAGTCAGAAAAAGCAAGCTTAAGCTGTTTCCTCCCACTTCTATTATTACTCCAAAGTGAGGATTTATCTGGGTTGAGCTTCTGACCAACCAATGCGTCCCAGACACGTGTCACTTGAATCGCTGTCTGCAAATGGTGCAGGTTGAGAATGCGGCACCACAAATAAGCATCATCGATGTATGCTCTCACCGAGATTCCTGGTAAATTTTCAATGAGGTGATACCAGACTTTATTGTAAGCATTCATAGCAAGAATCGAGAAAGAACAACCCTGAGCCACCCCATTGGGATGGGTGGTACCAACAGGTGTGGTCCAACTTCTATATGCCATGTATTTACGAAGGCCTTGATAAAATCTCAAGAAAACACTAACCACATAAATCGGAATACCGAAG